TCTCTAGCGATGTGCCCCTTCCAATGTCTTGGATGCACGCTGGCAAAATCGTAGGTAGGGAGAAAAAAGCTCATTATACTCTCGACTCTTGTTCATTAAACATACTTTTTCATACAGTACGTGCCAAAAGTTTTGTTCAATCATGAATAGCAGTGCGAGTTGAAAACAAGCGTTAAAGCCTTTAACATGTCTTCGAATATAAATAAACATCTCGTTGATATTTTCAGTAGTAAATGGTACCAATAACAACACTTTTGAACAATGCAATTGTAGTGGATAAAATGGTCAATTTTTCCGTGCAGTACTGTACGGATTATACGCTCCTCACTGGTTAAGAGTTTGGCCGAGAGTTGTCTCCTTCCTTTTCTGGCCTAGTGTTGTTCTTTTCTACTTTGCACCGGTCAAACTGCTATAGCTAAGTCTTTTTGGTTATTTCATTGTTCCCACGCCTTTTCTTTATAGCCGAAATAATATCCAGATATTAAAATTAATGATTATGAAATTTATCAACCAGTGTTTTATTTATTGGTAATTGTTGACATGCTGTACTAAACGTTTTCTAGAAATATCAAATCACTTACAAAGAGGTGTTTTATGGAACATTACTTCAGAACAGAAGCGGAAGTTAAATTATTATAACATAACAAAGGGTGTTCAGTGTGCTTGTGTCTTTGTATAACTTACACAATAACCTGGAATACAATAGAATCCTCTTTATTCTAGGCCTCCTTACCGCTGTCAACTGCCTTAGCGTTAGATGGTCCATGAGGATCCAGGATGTGTTCACTGTAGCAAAGCTAGCTGCGTTAGTGGCTATTATCCTAGTTGGAGTGATTTATCTCATAGGCGGTAAGTGAACCGTTACGTATTTGAGGATCAGAGTCTACAACTAATTCGCTTAAGAAAGTTGTACATGATAGGTTAATTTTTAAGCCGTTACTAGAAGCAATCCAAATTTTTTTTAAAAAATAGTCATTACGTAGGTAATTCCCATCGATTAGCCAGGCTCTATTTTTGAGTTCGTACAAAAATCCAATTTTTCCTGTTTGTGAAGCTAGCATTGTAATGTAAGTAAAATTGAATTTTTTTTTTCCAAAAATTTAGTGCTAATTTAGTGCCAAAATTAGAAATTTCACTTTTCACTCTTTTAGAAGCTTTAGAAACCCATACAATACTAGCTTTAAACAAAATAATACAAATTAGGACAAACGACCTATCCTAATACAGTGTTAATTACCAATTTTCATTAGATATGTTTTTTCTTAACTTATTAAATTATTACTGCCAGTGTTGGTTTTTCCTATTTTCTGTGCCAGAATTACCGGCACTACCGGTACCTGGCGTCATTATCCGGTACCCGACTGGATCCTAAAAAAAATACCGGATCCGCCGGGAAAGATCTAATCCGGATACGGGAAAAAAAGAGATAAACAAAATAAATGTCAATATTTGACATTACAAACAAACTGTCTATTTGATTCGACAAGTTCTGAGCATCCAAAGACTATATTTTCTTTGACCATTTCCAACAAAAGAAATTATTTTTCAGGCATTTAAATATGCGATAATTATTATGTATAT